AACTAGAAGAGTCGCGGTACAATATTTAACATAAATACAATAAAAACATGTACGTTATACATGGTGGTTCACACGGAAACGAACACTTATTATGTGGAATAACTCGGTATAAAATGAAAAGGTGAGCGTGAGTTACGAACGGAACGATTCTTTATGACGAAACAATGAACGAAGGTATGTTTCTCTTTACGTGTTATTCAAATGTGAATGTGCAATCGTAAGGTATTGAACAAAGTCAGTGTTCGGTCCCGAGTGAATCACCTTGTAAAATAAAGTATTTTTTTTAATAACTTATCCACTGTCTGATTTATTTATTAGTCAATTCACTCAAATATCATTGAATTTAAATAAATTCTCCCGAAGCAGCTCGGCCGATCTCCACCAAATTTGGCGTGGACATCGAGTGAATGTCGTAAGCTATTTTGAATCCCAATAAGATCGTGTCCTTGGGAATATCACGAGAAAACTCTGCCGTAGGATCAAGTCGAGATTTTGGGTGCTTACAAAGCGTGACAAAACAATCTCGCTGTTATTTTTTGTAGCTTCTAATTAAACATTTTGAAAAAAAAATTAATAGTAAACTTTAAAAAATATACATCAAGTTTGATTTTACACTCGAATTTTATTTCATTCTTCAGCCAGTTACTTATATAATGTTATATAACAGAAGGAAAGTATGGCAATTTGCCAAAAAAATGATCAAAATTTTTACATTTCTGCAGTCGGGGGTCCTCGAAACGTCGAGAAATGCAAAAGTAGGGAGGTTTATTCTATATATGTATATGGCGTTAGTGTGTGTTAGATTTTGTTCGTCCACTTTGCAACTTAATAACTCCTGTGCCTTTCGTCCAAAATTTCTGAAATTCTATACCAAGGTTTGTGTTTTAGGGAGAGATGTTTCTAGAAATTTTTAGGAAAATCGGACCATGTATTCGGGAGATACGGTTCCAACCACTTAATATCTCCCGAATCGATGATAGTACCACTAAATAATGGCATTTTTAAAATGGTGTAATGCAGTTTGAACTAGACAGTACAATAAATGTTAATTGCAGTTTGTTGCGTAAGAATGTACATAAAGGCAAATATATGTTGTTTTTTAAATTATAAGTTCCAACAATTTTTAATAGATCTTCCGGTTAAAACGATAAATCGAGTTTCCACGTACTTGCTTTCGATATTTTATTGCTTGCACAAACGAAATTATTGTCATACAAATCGCAATTATCCACCAAATAATTCCTCTAGCATATAATTGAATATAATCTATGCATTTTACCATTTTTTTAAAATTCTTTCCATCCTACAGGCAATAAAAGGGCGTTTTTAATCAAGCCCGTCGTTTACAGTTTTCAGTTATTTATGAAGGGACTGACCCTCAATTGGAGCATTGCTGAAGGATGTGATACGACGTCACGACTCCTACTATTCGTGTTGAATTACGGCAGTAGAAACGATCGCAAAACATTGCAAATAAAACTTTTTATCTTCTTTACAATTTGTTTTTCGAGTTACAATTTAAATAGTCTACGAATAAAATACTGATTGTAATTGTTTTGTATTTAAATTATATAGTAGAAGATATAATTGTTTGAACTGGATCATTTGATCAAGGTTATAACAAGGAAAAAAACACCTCATGTCGTATGGAATTCAAATTATCGTTTGATAAATGACTGAAAAGTTAAATGTCGTGTCAACTTTGCATAAAGAAATCCGATCAATTCAAATAATACATAACGATTTACGTCAATCGTCCACTGTGACGTGAGTACGTGTTAATATTACAATTCGAGAACAACCGAATGTCGTCATACAGCGAACGGCTGAATAATACAGCTCGAATAGCCAATACTACAAAACATATACTGCATGTTTATGAGTTAATTGCCCAAATGAATGCCAAGCCATTTGATTCATGTGCCAAGTGGGTTGGCATTCTTTGAATCAGTTATCGTTTGACTTTTAAACTTCGTCCAGCTTGCGAAACTTTGTCAAATGATACTTGGCATAATTGTCGGGTGTGATAACGATACAATTGCATATTAATTTAAAATGAGGAAATTTGCATATAAATTATCTCCTCCTCAATCATAACTTTGATGACAATGTTGTAATAAATTAATCGATCTTCTTCAAAGATTAGTTCGGTGTAAAGAAACGTAATTAAGTAAAACTTTGCCATTAATTCAATGATGATTGACACTTAATTAAATGTTACTTTATCTCCGAGACGTTTCTGTGGGGAAATGCCCTTGAAATTTCTGCTCGCAATAAAAAATACTTAAGGAAAATGCCATTTATGATAACTTGCCTTTCCTATTTTTACTTATTTATTATTTTTGTAATGAACGACTTTAAATTATGAAAGATTTACTCGAGTTTAAATCGAATGACGCATTCAAAACCGCAAAATTTAATGTGAAAACTCTACGTGCCCAGCTATCATTGTCCGGAGGTTTTATCCACTTGGCCACTAGTGACTCCGGGATTGAGAAAAGAATAGTGTTTTGAACAGGATATGTTTCATTGGCTTAATTCTCATACAGTTAAAATAAATAAGCTGAAAAATGAACAAATATTCGGCTGATAGGTAATTGAATTCGTACTTTCAGATTCGAATTTGACGTTTATCTTGAGATTTCTTGATTAGAAAACCGACATAAGATCGAGAAATTTGGCTAGTGATTGCAACAGAAAATGCAGCAACGGGAATGGATGAAGGGTTGGTTCATCCGCTGTGCATTGCAAGAATGAAGTGTTTCAAAGAAATCCTTTTTGCAAAACATAAGGAAATCTTTCCACCTCGAAATGCCAAGATTAAATATCTTTTTATAATAAATAAAGAGCGCACAGTATAGCTTCATACTAATATTGTCAACTACATTTTCTTAATTGTACAATTAAATCGTGAAAACTAGAATTTACGGAGGGGTTTTGCTAGTACTTTTGGATCCGGTTCTGATATTTTTCGAATTTTGTCAGCATATTGCAGAAATTTTCAGATTAATATAAGGAAAACTAACAAATTAAATATAAATATTCACTCTAATATCCCGAACTTTAAAGTTAAACGAACAACCGGATTAGCGGGCTATATTAAGGCGAATTTTAATAATTAAATGTAAAGTAATTTGGCAAGAGGTAGGAGGTTAGGCCGCCATCTCTTGATAAATTTAATAATTATAAATTAATTTTAATTTACAGAGTTCTGGAAGGAAACAATCAGTTCGAAGTGGAACTCGAACCTGTACTCCTATTTACCGGGCGAATATGTTGCCAGTTACACTAACGAGAGTCCGATTTCCAGAGCTATTTATACAGTAATTAATAAATAAATTGATTTATAATTATTAAATTTATCAAGAGATGGCGGCCTAACTTCCTACCTCTTGCCAAATTACTTTATATTTTATTATTAAAATTCGCATTAATATAGCCCGATAATCTGGCAGTTGGTTTCGCTTTTATTAAATTAAACTAATTCACTTGCATTTAGTTATAATTATAAAATAATACTTGTTTTTCTTATAATTAAAACCAATTATAAAATGCTTTTAAGATGAAGTACAGTATTCGGGATGGCCCAAAAACCAGTTATCCAAGATATATTTTTCTTAAGTGGCTTTTGGGGTGTCCGTATACATCATTCTTCCATTCTTTTTTTTATTAAATATTATGTCTTATTTCAATCAGTATTGTGTATACGATACCCTCATCGACGTTCCGATCTTTGAGCCTAATATGTAAACTCTACAGGTGGTGCAAAAGTCAGTTAACTAAGTTTTATTCTTAAAGCTAGTTTGGAATAGTTACATGTTATAATCGCAAATAACTTGCAGCTGTTCCAACATGTTAATTACACCAGTGTTGGTCGCTGGTTTGCATCTCATCAACCAAGTTTTCCGGCTTTTCTTCGCTTATCTAACCCCCAAATATGGGCCAGTTTCCCACAGAAATTTCTCCCGGAAGGCACCCCCCCCCCTTGGCAAATCATTCGTGTGTTGCATCGCCATATCCCATCAATCCTAAAATCCAATATGTTAACTGACTTTTGGTCTCCTATACATATTCACGTGATATCCTATACATGTTATATAAGTCATGAATTACTTAAAAATTGTTAAAACCCATCCTAATTATAAAATTTGAAATATTTTTAATTTTATTTTTCTGTTAATTCGTTGAAAATGTTTCCATATTTACAGATAACAATACCAACAACACTTATGTCAATAATAATCATCAGCTTAAATATTTTATTTAATATTAAACTCTTATACTTGGATTATTAAAAAAAATCATCCAAGCACATAGAAAAAGCTGAAATCATGCAAAAAATTATTATTATTATTATTAACAGATTTTTTGTGAGTATAGCTTCTATGTACAAGAGAATGTAATCTGGACATGAGAAAAGCATTATACAACATTTCTGACATAGAAACCTTATGTACAAACTAATTTTTTGAGATAATATTTCACTCATACATCATTCATAACATTAAATAATATACTGCAGCTCTTAAATATATATATATGTATATATATAATAAAAAAATCCAATATATTATCATCTCAAAATTAAATTATTTTGAAAATATTATTCAATTGCATATTAAGTTATAAAAAAATAAACAAGAAACTACACTAAGAAGAATTTCAAAATGAAGAGAAACAAATCCATTGAGATGAAACCACCATCTGTTATTGATCCTTTGTCTTTTCAACACCAAATACTTCCGAAGTGATGTTTTATGCTTTGTCTAAAATGTCTGGTCGAACGTACTTTAAAAACTCGACGTAGTTTAAATTACATTATTGGCTTTAAAATAATATATATTTTTTATTCTGTACAGTGTTGTCATTCTGTATTATCATCTCGATAAAAGAAAGATACTGGTTAGCATTAAATGCCGATAAAAATATTAATGTTTCTTGTGCGTGGACAAGAATTAAAATAGCTGAAGTACTTGACTAAAAAATCAGGGAAACGAATCTTTTTTTTTTTACCATTTTCTCATATAAATAACTATCGGCGTGACAAACGAATTGGACCATCTCCATCTGCGAGGGGAGGAAAACTACAAGGCACTCTATGCAAAATTATACCAGGACAGAATCCCACAGCATATACACCACTCACAAATTAGCATGCTACTATAAACTGGACAGAGTAATATATACTCTACTTCCATTAATGGTAAAACTAAGCATTAATAAAATAGTCATTTACTCATTCATATTTATGCATTTTTTTTTTTTTTTTCCTTTTTTCCAATAACAGGAATTTACATTTTACATGTTTTTCTTGTTTTCCTCCTTACAATTCAATGGACTGGTTACTTCAAATAGCGTGTATTTAAATTCGTCATAATTATCAAAGTGTAAACGATCACAGGCAACAACAATCCATTGCACAATTTACAAATTCGGTGTATAAACAAACTCACATTTACACATCGGAGCAACAAGTTAGTCTGTAGACAAAGAAACCGAAAAAATTGGCATGAGCTATGATTTAAAAAACGTGTCATATACTCACATCTTACTTTAAAGATCGATAATTACATCTAGTAGTTTTTTTTAATGTAAAATTTAAAAACGAAAAATTATCGCAACTCTTACGTAGTATGATTATGATATACACTTCTAAAATGACTTAAATTTTATATTATGTGCGATCAATTTTCAATTATTAGTTTCTTGTCACCTATAGAAATTCTTACTGAAAATGAATTTCGTTGGCATTTATACAAATTCGAAAGAACCAATAGGCTACTTCAAATAAAAGTAAATTGAATAAAATACTGACTTATCTTACTACCGATTTAAATTACTGTTTAAAGACAATTATAAAGATTGATAAATATTCTGGTTCCTTTAGCAATTTTGCTTTAATAATTAATGCGAACATTTCACTCGTCCATGTTTAACTGCGTTTCTCTTAAAACTTTTTTACACATATCCAGTAAAAGTTTTAAAATTTGTACATTGGTAGTCGTGGACACTCCGTACATCATTTTTTTTAATACTCATGCAATTTAAAATCTCGATTAGAGATAGAAATACTTTTAATCATTAGAATTTTGTCGTAGAAAGCATTCAATTGCAGTTAAATACTGTAGCAGGACATTAACAGAAATGGCAGTTAAATGCTGACTACTAAAAGCTTAATCTCGGCTGTTCTGACATGTTTCCCACTCAAGACGACCTGAGAAAATATACCAAATTTTAAACGTTTGTATGCAAGTAGGTATTAATCGATAAAGAAAATTTATAAATATTTAAATAAACCTGGTGATTCTTGTGTCAGGCAGAAGCGGTTGATGTTCGGCTCTTTCTTCTCCTCCCTCGATACCTATTACCTCTTGAGGAGATTCCATAATTCCGGGCATGTCCTGTAATGGACGCTGCCAAATAATGGATGGATGGCCAACTCTCGGTGCACTACTTCTTTGCTTCAAGTACTTAGAATGCAACTAAAATTTTAAAAACATAATTTTATGACTATCTACTTCCATTGAAATATTTTAAATATTCTTAAAATATAAATAAAATTTAAAAATTATAATAAAATTTTATAATATTTAATGCCGCTAAATTTTTATAAATTTACCAATTTCTATTAAAGTTTTACTATTCCATTAACATTTACTGCAAATAAATACAATTTATAGATTAAGTATCATTTCGGTACTTACACCGTGCATATATAAAGTACTTATACTCATATTAGCAGCGGTAAATTCCAAAGGTACATCAGTGACAGAAGAAGGTTGAATAGATGTAATATGACTTTCACTCTGATGTTGATATTGGGAATGATGTAAACTAAAAAATCAATATAAGCATTATAATGATGTAAGCAATAGACAAAAATTTGGTTATATTTTTAAAGAAAATTAATTCTCTTAAAAAAGTAAACTTGTTTTACCTCGATATAAGACCAGCCGAATTAATGTGAAGTGGTCCTTCTCTTTGAGCAATGTTTCCAACAAATACAGGTACTGGAGAAGGTGCCGACGGAGAGAGAAGTTGAGACCGTGCTAAGGATCGAGCCAATATACTAGTAGGACCAATCGACGGATCGACATTAGTATGCAAAATACTCTTCACTAAATCGCTATACTGAAAAATAAATTTCCTCATAAACTAAAATGGTTTCAAATTATTTTACAGTATGATAATCCAGGCAATTTTATTAATAGGTAAAAAAAAAATTAAAACGTTTAAAGTTACTTATTCAACTCTTGTGAATTAAGTATATAATTAAAATATATAGAATCCAATATTTATATTATTAATATTATACATAAAGTAGATCCTCGTTTAATGAACATAACAGTTAACATGATTTCAATTAATAAGTACCTCTCATAAAAATGAGTAGTTCTATTAATGAAAAAAATTCTATTAAAGATAACCTTTAAACAAGTTTCATATTTAGGCAACAATAATTAGAAAGTGGTTCAAAGTTCAATCAGCCATTCGTACAATTTGTGTTGACATTAGTTTTAATGCAAGTCCTTCTTGAATTTGCCCAATAAATAAATCAAGAACTATAATAAAAACCAAATGAATATTTAAATACACATTAACACATGGCTTGTTTAAACACATCCTATTATTTTAATTGGTCTATCACATTATGTTTACTGATTTTTGAGATCTGGAGTCAATATTCTATTTTTTGATATGCATAGTATTTTCATACATTGCTTTCTTTGCATGGTTATCTCAGGAACTCATCTATCAGGAACAGATTGAATACATTTTGAATACCGAAGTGTAAATACATATTTCTGTTTTTATCAGCAGCATTAGTAACAATGCAAAGAATTGGGTGATTATGAAGCAAATACAAATAAAAAGCTCTACTTTCTCTCTGTTCCACATCCCACAAAAATACATCATGAGTATTGTCATTTGGTATGAGAATATGTCACGAGTAATATGGAAAATATTGTAAACTAAATCAGTTTGATATCACTTTCTCATCTCTTTCCTACTCTCATGATGTATGAACAGATCTTAATACCAAGAAAATTAACAAATCTATCACTCTGAGATTCCTAACATTATGGAACATAACTCATTTTCCAAAAAGCAGTAAAATGCTTTCATTAATTAATTTAAAGAGAATAATACTGTAAGCTGGAACCAATGGTTAGTCCATTGAAATAACAGATTCAGTTAATGAGATTTATAGTTAATGAGCGACTCTGTGAAACCAAGTATACTCATTAAATGAGAGTCCATTATATGTAATTACAAATATTTTAAAATTATTCTTTAATCTATAATAATAACTTTTAAATGCAAAAATGCTTAAAAGAATTTTAATAAATATTTTAAATTGAATAGACTATTTATTATTTATTTTAGAATTATACTAACTTCTCCACCCAATGATGAAACAGAATTCAGAGAATAATACAATGCATTTTCCTCTGGCATCATATGTAACTTTCTAACATCTCTAACAGCTACAAAGATAAAAATTGTATATTAATATTGCTAATAAACACTTGAAATCTTAAACATTATTAAAGAAACAACCTTGATCTCTCAAATTATTTAAGTACACAGAAGATTCTTCTGGAGGTATCCAATTTGGATTCGTTAACTGTAATTAAAGTAAAAGATTTTTAATCATAATTTAAATATTAATTTAAGCAATTCTTCACTTACAGTGAAATGCATAAGTGATAATTCTGTTTTCCCATCTTCAGCTTGCTGGTATTGATTTGCTTCTGTGTGACCTTCAGTCATCCACTATAAATTCGATAAATTATAAAAAATTTCTAATATCAAATTTGTTTTCAAAAATTTTCAATCAAACTCAAGCAAAAGATATAAAATACATAAAATTTCTACATAAAATTACATACGTTAGGATTACCATGGCGTCGAACATCCATTTGTGCAAAAGAGCAGACGTCACCTACGCCCACAACCTCTACTGTAAAGTTACGCAAAAAATCCACAATATCTAATGAACGGCGGGGGAGATAAAAGCAAAGAATGATGGGTGTAACAATCGGACTAATTAACTCTTCCAAAAAATGCACCTATATTAAATACAATATGGCTTCTTATCATTCAACAGTATTAACTTTAAGTAATAAAATCAATATCTTTAATTAGAAATCTCATACAAAAAGTTTCATTAATATCCAACTTACAACTTTTAATTGAAACAATTGTGAAAATTCATTTCTAACTTTAAAAATATGAGCTTTCCCTCTCCAGTGATCGGGAATGTAATGGATGTGAGCTAAGATATTGGTCATAAGTTTTTCTGGACACCAAACCAAATTCTAAATAAATAATATATATAAATATATATAGAGATATAATACTTATATTAATAGAAAAATGACATAAGACATACTTCTGGAGGTAGAAAGCTTTGGCATCCAGCACAAATTATACCACAAAAAGTCATAACAAATAAAATATGTTCCACAGTCATTACGTCTTCGTCATAAATGGTCAAAACGAGAAAATATGAAAATACAGCACCAGCCATAAAAATGATACACCTGTAAAAATAAAATTTTAAATAACTAATTACAACAATTTTAATTATAAGTAAAGTGGAGAATTGATTATCCAAAAAATTGGTTAACCAAAATTGACTTCACAGAAGTAATTCTAGAAATTATGAAGTTTTTACATATAATAATTTTCAGCAATCTTCCATTAAGTTATCTTATTATCATAACTAGTGTTAAGTTTTATTTATTTATTATACTACAAATAGAAAAGCATGATTAATGAGTCACGGGCTTCTTCACTGTGCCTATGCATAGTGAAATATTTAATACATTAAAAACAGTGATGACAGAGTTAGAAATGCAACCTAAGCAACTTTCAACTGTCTTGACAATCAAGCGAGCCAGGAATTTAGCAGAGTTAAAAGAAAAAATTATGCAAAACAATGTAAAATAAAAGAATTTTCAATAAAAGAACTGTAATAAATAATTTTTATGTAAGTACTTATACTTTATTTAAAATTAATTTTATTATTATGTATTTTTTACTTTAAATTCAAAAGTTTCATCAGTACATTGTAGAATGTAATGAGAGCCTGGTGCTTGCTTTTAATTAATTAGACATTTCATTGTTTCTTATAATTCTTATGTATTAAATTTTTATGCCAACCTATTTTACTATTATACTAGAATTAAAACTGATATTTCTTTACTTCATTTATCTTTTTATTCTTTCTTAATAAGTGTGATTAGTCATTAAAAAATTGCCCAATTATCTAATTGCACTGCCCCAATTATTTCAGATAATTGATGCTCTACTGTATTTGAGTTAATTTTAATTTTTCATTTTTATTATTTATTTATGTTTATAAGTTATGAACTAAACTGGAACTCTTTAATATATATATACACACACAACTACAAAAGATGTCACCATGTAAAAGATGTTCTATGTTATATATTCATTTGTTTATATTTTTCAACATTTCATTCTATTATAATTGTTTTGAGCATTTTAATTTGGTATTATTCTAACATAAAATTTTAGTTGCATATGTCCTACAGCATTCTAAACCAATGGTTCTCAACCCACATTCTGCAGAACATGGATTTTCCACAAACTTGCTTCAATGAAAAACAAAAGATTTTAAAGTTTTTATTAAAAGCTTATTCCAACATACTACAACATACTTTTATTCATTCACAATTCCTTGTTTACTATTTTATTCAATACAATAAAGTTTATTAGTTTACTGCTTTATTGTTTCGTAAGTATACCAAACATGAAATTGTTTATCAATTTTTGAACATATTGATGCTAATGAATGATGTTTTGTATCCTCAGAGAGATTAAGAACTATTGTTCTGAAACACTTAAGTAAGTTGCTCTAATCTAAAAATTGCCAAATATTTGATCAGAAATGTTTCTTTCTTCTATTAAAACTGTAGGGTATCTAAATTAACAATCTCTTCAAACCTGTTACCGGTGTGTTCTCCCACGATGACTCACAACATACAAATATACAGTTCGTTACTAACGTTTTCAAGTGAAGAAAGGAAAGATCTCATTTATTTATTTAAAACTTAAAAACTTTTATAACTAAAAATAATGAGCTTTAGTTGTAAATGAAAAGTTACTTCATCAATATGTGAAAAAATTTCATTTAAATTCAAAAAAATTAAATTTTTATTAGAAATATCTCGTTCTTCAAATTGTTACATATCATATCACAGCAAAAACTTTTGGTATAATTCAACATGATCTACTGTATGTAAAAAACAGACTTTGAATATTGTTTCTTTCCTTGAAATATTTTTTAACACACAATTCACACAAATATGTCATGAAGTTATTTCACACATCCTATAATTCATTTCAAGCATTTGTATCATTCGAAGTTTTGTTTAAAGAAAACATATATATAATCAAACAATCTGCTGGATTTTTATCAAGCTATTTTTAAGGCTAATTAATAATTTGAAATAAAAATTTTCGCAAGAGGTACACAGTTAGACCATCATGTCATAATAAATTTGGCAGCCTATCTATCTACCTCTTGCCAAATTACTTTGTTTCAAATTATTAATAAGCCTTAAAAATAATCCAATAAAGATCTGGCAGATTGTTCAGTTATTCTGATAAATCAGATTATAGATGTTATCATATATATATACAGGGTGTATCAGAATGACATTTTAAAAATTTGGGGTTTGTAGAGGATGAAATTTTGAATGTTTTGATATAAGGAACCTATAGCCGAAAATTTGAACTAAAGTGTCTACAGTGGTAGGAAGTGCATGACTGCCCTTCACTTTGGTAGCTACCCTTCCATCCATTGACGTCATGTTATTGCTGCAGATGGAAGACTAAACATACAACTACAGTAGTCTAACTGAGCCCGTGTACAGGACGTTGTGTACTTAGTGCTTGTTGTCCTTCAGGTCACCCCTTGCATCCGCACCCACTGGTGCTGTGCTGTAAACAAACAGCTAGTCAACGTGAGTCCCTTGTGTACACAACAACTGTAGGAACAGTTCATAAGCTTACAGAGCACATCTTTACAGCATTTAATACTATCAGAGGGAAGCGTGGCATCTTACAGAGTCGGACAAACATGGCTTATCATTGCATATTATGTAACGAAGTTGGTGGTCGTCACATTGAATATTTACTCTAGAGTAGTGCAGCCACTAATTTGATGTACAGTTTGATTGTACTCTACCATTTTGTCAATAAAACTTGTCATAAATACTGTATTCTGCTGTTTCATTCAACATAGAATATGCAAAGTGCTGTAGAAACTTTATATCTCATATCCAGCTATAGGTTCCATATATTAAAATGTTCACAATTTCATCCTCTACAATTCCCAAAATTTTTAAAACATCATTCTGATATACCCTGTATATATATATATATATATGTTTGTCATATTAATTTTTTGCATATAGTTTACTGTTTAATTAATAATTTAATATGCAAACAAACCATATAAATTTTAAATTTAATTTAATATGTGAAAATTTAAATTATAATATCTACATAAATTTTGTTTTCAATGACAAAAATGTTTATAATGCTTTGTGTATAAAAGTGTTCAAATTCTGTATACAGTGTAAACAGAATTTGAACTGATTTTAACTTTTTCTTCTTACTAAGCCCCATTTTATTAAATAAAACATCACTCAATTGTTTTGGCAAAGCAATATTGAATCTCTTAATAAACATTAGTTTATTAATTTTTATGGTATATATAGGTATAGTATAGTATAGGTATGTAAAGTAACGCAATTCAGTCAATTAAGTACAAAATAAATACAATTAAATTTATTTTGTACTCATTCAATTCTTAACTTGTATATATATTATTTATATACGTGTTAGTATTTAAATTACTTTTTTAGAGAATTTTTACTCTTAGTAATTTTGTACGTTTTGATGTCCTATTATATGTTCAATATGCATGCATGAAATTTTCTTGTAATTATGTAAAGTATAAATGTTTGGTTTTGTAATATTTTCTTTCTACATACATCTTAATTCATTAATCATAATAATTTTGCACTTTTGCAATCCCTATATAAAATAAATTCTACAGAAAAATATGTTTATATATAAACTCTAATTGTATACATCATATTACTCTCAAACAATATTATATTCATTATTTTATTTTTGTTGGCTGTTAATTTGCATTACAATTTTTAGAAATGTAACAAACTGTTAATAATTATGTAGAGATCAATCCATATTAAGTAAGAATCCTAAAATATTTTTCAAATTATAATTTCAAGAATTTTATTTGTAAGGCAAGATTTCTCAATTCTTTGTATTTTTAATAACATTTTATTGAATTTTAAAGTTTATACTCTATTTAAATAAAGTAAAAACAGAAAAGTATCTTCTATTAACATAATTATTATGGCAGTAATCGTCATATTAATATGTGAATTAATCAATGAAACTTTAATAGTTAATAAAGTTGAAGGAACAGAAACATTTTCACCCCAGTTAATAGACTGTCTTCAGCCATGAACAGATGAAAGTGAATTCATTCCCATCTGTCCAGGCTTGAAGATTTTAAAATCATAATGACTATAAGGCTGCTTGCTTATTCACATTCATTGTATTTTAATAAAATTGACAGTATAAAGGGCAAAAATTAAAATATGCAAATAAAGAATAAATATAACAAGAAAATCTTACCGAGCAACAGCTGCTGCTTTGTGAGAGGTAAATAATGAAATATAACTTGTGGATGGCTTATAGGCTCTGCTCAGTCTGAAAGTAATTCAAAATTATTATTAATAAATCGACTTTAACATAAAAATTATAATTTTGAAAGTTAATTTCTTATGAAAAGTAATGAAACAAAACATTTATAAAATGCAACTTTTATATTTTTGAAATATTTCTGAAACTAACTAACCTGGAATCAAATTCATGTTCCAATTCATTAAAATGACGTAAATAAAATCTTGCATAGTTAGACCATGTTCTAGTTCCTAATACACTAGGTTCTCTTTTGATTTGTTCAACATAGCTATAAAAGAACATTAGAAGATGCCAAACCAAAATTAATGGAGAGAGAAGACCATTTGCAATGCCTATCCAAGTAATACGAGTAGATAAACTAGAATGTAAACAATAATCAATTTAGAGAATGATGTATAACAGCAAAACTAATAATAAATATATTTATATTTTATTCATGTTTAACATGTAGCTTTTCTCATTTCATTTACCAAAAAACTTATTTAAATATAGAATAAATATAATAAATTTTGTTCAAATAAATCATATTCAAAATTTAAGCATAATTCAATATGTTTCAATAGTTTAGAAGCAGATTTTCATTTAAATGGCAAAATTATTTTAAAAAGTACTGCTTTTTTGCATAAAACATATAAATCATAAAGCGTAATAATAAATCAAACTAAGAATGTAATACACAATAATTTTTACTGACTTAAAACTCTAAAGGTTGTTTCACACTATCAGAAATGAAATGACACAGAGAGGCAATGACACAAATTATTATTTTATTAAATTTAAATTATTATATTCACATTCACCATAATCAGCATGGACAACAATGACACAACTGACCAACAATCTGAGAAAAAATGTTTATCATGTCTTTGCATATATTTGACATGTATGTGTAGTATAGTGCAAATGATTTGGCAATTGGTATCCTCATTTCACACTGTAAAGATACATATTTTTGCATTTTAAAAATATGGACTGTCACTATCCAGAACTTATGACACATCTCATCCAATGTATAGCAATAACAATCAACAAGAAAATCTTTGGTTTAAAAGTCTGGTATTCTCTCTACATTTTGCATTTATTCAACATTTTGTGTACCCAAATATGTTTTCTTCTGACTTGGAGTTCATCTTCATCTACTAACACAGCTATTATAGCCAAGTCATTGATGGAAAAATTATGAACATGTTTAAATAGCAATTCTAAAGTAATGCAAATTGTTTTGTTGCATTGTGTCATTACTGTCTAATAATGTGAAATATTCTATAACTTGTAATGTCTTTGCTGATCCATGTTCTGTTGCTTTCTTGTCTGATAGTGTGAAGATTCTTGTCTGAAAGGCTCTTGGAAATATTCCTTCATTAAAAGTCCTATTGTCACATATTTGGAAAAAGCTGGTTAAGGGTACCACCTGATGTTGGAATGTTAAAAGTTTTCAAGTCACTCTGCAATTCCTTTCACAAACTTATCAAGTCAGTCCCATGTTAATTTTGGCCAGCTCAGTCTACTTCTGGCTTTCAGTTGTGCTGTGGTTAAAATGATATCAGAGAAGATGATGAGACAACCACCACTACAAAGGAAGCCATAGAGGGATTGTTGAAAGTGCAAAAGTTTTTGGAAAAACATTGCAATAATGATAATGTAATGTGTCATATCATTGCACTGGATAACATGCTGAAAGAAATGGTGAGAGGAAAAAGCAAGAAATTGATCACCTCTTTAGTCTCATTAATTAAAAGTAGGACATTAAACATGAGTTATCATTTTATAAAACATTTATAGTAATGCAGTAGACAATCTGAACTAAGCATACAAAAAGTATATGTTCTATAGTCACAATGCACTTTTTCCTCTCGTGTACAATACACACAGGCTATGTAATTTGACTGAAAATGATAACACTACCAAAAAAAGACATTTTTTATTGTTTAATTAAAATGGCTAATGGTATTTTACATATTTAAAACTCACAGAAGAAACAAAAATGTCTTTATACATCAATGTCCAATTACAAGTTTTAAATATTTAAAAATACCAGCCATTTTAATTAAATGATATTTTTTTTTAATTACTGACTTGTCACCAAAGGACATTTTAAACTGTTTTTACATAATTTTGCAGATATGTAGCATCTAATAAAAGATTGTCTCTGCAAGGAAGACTGTTTATTCCTGGTGATTGGACATGGCAGAGGTATGAAGACATCTTCCAGGAGTTTTAAATCATTTTTCATTTTCTCAGTACATCTTATTCAGTTCACAACACACTTAATTTATTGTAGTATAGTGTGTAATATATAAAATTAATTTATTTCTTCTCCATCACAATGTTACAAACTTTTTTGGTAGACTGCAAACCTCACTAAACCTCCAAATTTATGGTTGCATCTTAATGATGTTTGACTGTACTGAGGAAAATAACTGAATATTGTTAAGAAGTTAGAATTCTGTATGTTAAGATATCAAAGTTTTAAACATGTAGTTTGTTATTTGTTCTACTGCAATCAAAACTGTACATTTATTTTACTTTAATGAATCTGGATCCACCTCCCCTATTATGGCTGTTGACACTCAACTGTGATCATGCATTTGGAAGAGAAGTTAGAGATGACGGTCAATTTTTTTGTATGTTGTGAATCACTCTACATCATTTTACTCAATTCATTTCCTTATTTTATATTTATGTGTAACCAACATAATTAAATGTAGAAAAAGGTATTTTAATTGAGTTTCCAACATATTTGAATGCAACGAACATATTCACTTAACAAATATTTCAGCATACCTGGTCAATAAGCACAGGCAACTATATTGAATTATATAACAGAAAATTCACCTGCATATGCAATTTATATTGACATATCCAAGTTTTTGACTCTGTTTTACCAGACCATCTACTAAAGACATTAAGTGAAGAATTTCAAATACATCAAATTCATATTTACTGATTAAATTATTCAAATTATAATATGTAATCTTCAATTTCTTTGATTTTCTCTTGTTTATGATATTCAACAAGTATCTGTTCTCAGTAATTCATTTTTAATAGTTTACATTGATATCTCTTTATTTCATTTGCACTCAAACATGTTTGCATATGCAAATAATATAAAATTAATTAATAAAGACACAAATCATTACAAACCTTTGCTCTAATTTACTGATGTTAAACCTAACAACTAATATTGAAAAACAGTTGCCAAACAGTTACCACTTGTTTTTCTTATTTTCATATTCTACAATTGCCTAATTTAAATTATATGATACTAATATTACATACATTCAATCTGTGGATAATCTAGGTGTGACTTTTTACAACAAATTAACATTTAAGCTTCATGTAGATAAAACAGTTAATCCAATAGAAAATGTAATGTAATGGCAACACTGTCGAACCATATCATCAAAAACTGAGATCAATTTGTTTAACTTCCAATTCATTGTTGATTATTATTTCCCAAATATAGGCGGCAGCAGACCCTCACGTTTTAGTAAAATCTAGCTTTATCTAAAGTTTATTTATTGATTAATAAGCCAAATAATTTACCTGCCACTAATTTGAGTAATTATGACAAGAGTTAGAGTATGACTGCTCTTGCCTTGATTCAACATCAGAATTGTATATTTTTATTGTATTTATATTTTAAGTATTTTAATGATATACTTGCATACTCCCATTCACCAAATCTGAAATAAATCTAGTTTATATACACTACAATGTCACTTTGAATTTCCCATTGATTCATTTTAATAGAATTGTCAATTTTATCAACATAATATTCTAGTTAACATACTCTTTTGCCATTTGATTTCTTTTCGATACTTTCTTATAATCTTCTTTTAAGTGCCAACTATTTTCGAATGGTGCCCAAGGACCCCCTAAAAATTAAAATATACATAAATTTCATGCAATTATTATAAATTAAAAACTTTTCTTAAAACAATACTTACAAAACAAAATCATTTCAAGATTATATTTAAGTCCTTTTGAAAAAAATACTCTACAAATAAAAATTTTTTGATTAAAAATAATTTATAACAATTATTTGTTATCAAAATAAAACTTTTTTACAAAAACGCCTTACATTTCCCCAATGAAAGGAAGATTAAATTTTATGGGAAGTATATTCTTGTTGACCATAGCTACCATATAGTTTTTAAACCTGAGTATTCTATGATATATATCTATTAAATATATTATTACATTTAAAAAAAAGTACACAAATAAAGTAACTTAAATTTAATATTTCAATTTGCTACCTAATTCTGAAAGTTCTCTCTTGTGTATGCACATCTGCTGTTCACACTGCACTTCCAAAAGTCGGCACTGCACCTCATGCCAAGTCATGTTTTCTAGATCATCCTAATAAAATAGTAAAGTTCATTTAAATTCACTATTTTAAAAAAATAAATTTAAAAATATCTGAAATTAAAAACATTTGACTTACTGGAGCTATTTTTAATGCTGTACTATAAAATACTTTGATCTCATTATACTGAAATAGCTGATATACTACCTTGATAAGTCTTAATACAAGGAAAACAGATGCCACAATTAAACAAAATACAATCAAAGGATGTAATCTAGAGATGGAAGAAGAAGAAGAATTATATTTTTAATAACAAATATGTTTCTTATATTTTTTATCAAACTAATATAATACACTAACCTATATACACAAACATTTAAGGGAATAACAACGTCCCTTAAAGTAACTTTCTCCGTATGATTGACTCCTTGAGGAGGTACGTCTTTAAATAGAACAGGATAGTTCACGCAACTTGTTATGAAGATTGTGAATATGACAGCAAAGATAAATTGACTGAACAAGAAAAAATATTTATATGTTATGCATTTATTTCTAGAATAATAAACATTTTAAAAATACAAATTAAAATTTTAAACTTAATTAAAAATCTCAAAATTAATGCAATGAATTGAAAATTAAAAAAAAAACAGTATGCATCATATGAAGAATATTAAATATTAAAAATTTGAGATATACATTGTTGATTATTGTTTCAATAAATATAAATATTGCATTCAATTATATTAATATAAATAATTTCTTCTATTTAAATTGTAATTCAAATCAATATAATTAAACTGATTAAACATAGTTGAAATTATATTGCATAAATAACTGGATATTAATGCTGTAAAATTATAGTTTTATTATAACTGCATAAACTGGTGATGAAATCATATCAAACTTTTGCAAATGATTGTATATATTTTCCACATTTATTAAATTTCACAAATGCTACTAAAGATAAAGAAGTCAAAATCTATATTCATAAGCAACTAACTTATTGTAAAAATAAACCTTGTTACCATTTTAAGTCATCATCTCCAGATTTATATCTACATAGCTAAAAAAGAAAGTTTGTCAGTTTGTCTGTACTCAGGATAACTACAAAAATTTGAGAAATTACATTTTCCAGGTTAAAAACTACAATTTTTTTTAATTCATCAGACTGCTGTCAATTTGCAGTTTGTATACAGAAAGACTTACTCTAGAAACAGAAAAATACATAGTCAAACCTCATTAATACAAAGTCTAAGGGAGTTTGTAATAACAAGGTTTGTATTAAAGAAACAATAAGTAAATAAACAAACTTATCAGTTGCTCTGAACATACACTTTATTGAGATCATTCACTGGTTTGAAGAAAGAATCAATGCTTGTGTTTCAATATTACTGAGATTCGGTAGAACAACAGTTAAAAGTGCTAGATATAACCTAGCAGGAGCTGAACATGTGAAACTTTACAAAGATTTATATACATGGATTTGAATGAAACTGTTTTTAATTTTAAAATTGCAAATTAATTACTAGTATTCAATAGTGTAATTCAATTGTTTCATTATTTCTGTTATTAAAGTAATTAAAAATAATAGCTATTTTGTAAAATTACATATTTTTATTTGAAAATCTCTCAATTTTATTATCTTCCAGTTTGCAATGTGCATGTTGTCAGTCATAATTAATCTGTGACAAGGCCAAATGATTATTTGGCCTTGTCACAGAATAAAAAGCACATCTTATAAGAGAGTATAATTTTTTGAGTTGGAGTAAATGTCACTGGTGTGACATAACCTTCATCATCAATAACGACAATAATATTGATGTCACAAGCATTGTGGCCAATTTTAAAGTCAAAAAACATGCTCTTGATCATGATGTGAGTTATGTTGCCACTTTTGCTTCTGTCACTTCAGGAAAGCTGGAAGCAGTGTGTATTAAACAATGTAATATTATTACTATTGAATTCATGGGATCATGACACATTTTGTATTACAAATTAACTGATATTTTGTATTAATCAAACTCAAAGTATCTAGAAATGTTAGAAATTTACAAGTCAAAGAAAACAAAAAGGTAAATGAACATCAAGGACAAGGACAAGCTATCCAGAGCCTGGAAATCCCTTTATGAAGTCTACAAATGGACTTAGTTGTATAGAATGTTGAAGGTTAACAAAATAATGGGTACTTGTGAATCTTTGTCCCAGATGGTGGTGCTGCCCTGGCAACCAACATCTCAACTAGTGCCTGTATCCCCTCAAAAAATAATTGACTCGGCTGACTAGCCTACATTAAACAGACACATGTTATTGATTCAGTCTTTTTCATTATACAATTTATCACACAAGCTGGAAATAGAAAAGGTTATGTAACCGATTTGAACTCACTAACCATTTCCATACTTAACCATTTGGGAAATCCTCTCTGAACCAATTATCAACCTAATACATGAGAGTTAGATCGCATCAATTGACTGGCGCCCTGCTAAACAAAAATTACCTTTTAAAATAAGCAATAATTTAAACTAATTTGTTTGCTAACTTTTTCTGGTAAAATTTTACCTATGTACACTGTCATGGCAGTGTTTGCAACTGTTCGTGCTCCTGACAGACTCCTCCTGGAGGGGAGCCGCCGGCAGGCTGCAAATTGTTTAACATCACTAATTATTGATTCATGGTAGTTCTTGAACACATGTATCAATAACTAGTGACGTTAGACAATTGGTGGCTCTCCTTCGGGAGGAGTCCAACGGTAGCATGAACAATCACAACCGGAACACACAGGTAAAATTTTACCCTTTTTCTTTATTAAAACTTTGTGACAATCTTAACAACATTGAAATAACGAAACAGACTGAGTCGATAACACGTGTCTGTTTAATGTAGGTTAGTCAGCCGAGTCAATTTGTTTTCAAGGGATACAGGTACTAGTTGAGATGGTGGTCGCCAGGGTGGCACCACCATCTGAGACAAAAATTCACAAGTACCAAATAATGTAATATATTTTTGCTCTATTTGATGTTTTTAGACCTATTAATAGTTGACTGTAGTAGAAATATTTTAGACAAATCACAATGTCAAATGTAATACGTAATCTCTTCAAATTTATATCGTGTTCAATATTCATCTTGTTTAAAAACTGCTCTATTGTAAATAATAATTACTCATTATACTTTGACAATAACTTTAACACTCAATTTGTGATTCCAGTCAAATCAACACCTTCAAGCAGTAAAAGTTGTAATTAACACAAATCAAGTAATCTGTATTTTAAGAATTCAGAATGAGCATAATGGCTTGAAAAATTATTGTCATCTGCCACAATGTACATTGACTAGATTGAAAGATGGAATGTTACGCTTGCATCATTTCTCAATGAAAATAATTCTTTCCATCAGCAAAAATGGTAGACAGAAATTATGCAAATTTTGTACTGACCACTTCTTATATATTGTGAGGTTGCCTGTCTTTAGAGACAGGCAACCTCATATGACATGGTAGTTAAGTTTCCTATAAAATCTTATGTAAAATCATACTGAATCAAATATCAGTAAGAGAAAAAATCAGGTTTCAAAAGCTAAAACAAAAGTCTGTCAAATTTTCAGAAATGAAAGCACTGCAGAAATAACAGTTCTAATTTACTTTTTATTTTTATTTATGGTCTGGGTTGTTGTCTAATTTAAATCTTTTGCAATAAATGATATTTTTTCTCCTTTTTCAACACAATCAAAAAATTTGTATGTTCGATTCTAAGAGAGAAAGTTTCTTTTGAGCATTGCCATTTTTTAATTTCATTAAGCATAGTTTAGAACTGAAATTTTCTTAATAACAAAGAAATTATTCCAGTACAATTTTTGAGAACAAATTTTAATGTTGCATATTCAAAAAATTCAATAGCCAATTGAATAAAAACCATAATAATCTCAATAAAATCTTAAAAGTATAAACTGAATGATTCATTGTCAAATATTTAAATTTTCAAATGTTTAATATCAAGCAAAACTTCTGATGACTTATCTGTTCAAAAGTGCTATATAAACGTGAGTGCCATAAAAGCAGTTTTCTGCAAATTCTGTTTCTTGTAAATATCTTTTCAAAAAGCATTTTTCTGTTTGAAAATACATTTACAAAAACATCTTGGAAAATATATATTGCTTAAACCAATACTAATATTATTATACTTACATAAGCATTAAAATTTCATCAAGGACCATACTCCCAAAGCCATTTTTTTGATGATATAAATATACTTGGAAAAAATTCAGAAAAATATTAATTATTCATAATAAGTTCCAAAATTTAAAACAGTTCTATTATATTATTCTATTATCTTTAATATTAAAATTATATTTTTAATATTATATACAAATTCATTTAAACTAAATGCATAATAGAACATTTGCAAGGAAATGCATTCTAAAATATTTAACTTTAAATATTAATAAGTAACATGAAAGGATATTCTTGTAAAAAATGAATCAAGATCTTCTATATGATTCCATCGTGCTAGAAAAGTAACACACAATAACATTTAATACACTTTTCAAAATATAAAAAGAATATTGGAAGTTGAAAATCATAATTACATTTTCCACTTTCAGGCACCACATGTATCATAACACCACTGTCTTGAGGAGTTTCTGCCTCATTATCATTATAAGCCAAAAGGGCTTGATATCCGGTTTGTAATGTAGTCATATTAACTGCTCTATCAACTCATTTCTTCCTGACCAAACTAAGAAAGTCAATAATAAAAATAACAATTGAATAACATTGTTTTTATTATTACAAATATTGAGCAGCAATTATATTAATTTTATAGTTTAATCTGAAATCAAAAAATTAAAAATATCTTCCATTAAAAACTCAATTTAAGAACTTTATTTTAAAATAAAATTATTGTGACTAATTTAATATAAATATTTTAATTACAGCACATATAATAATAATAATTTTTTATTTTTAATCTATTCCTAAACAAAAAAAAATTAAGTTATTATATATATAAATGAACAGACCAAATTTTCCATCATATTAGTTTAAAACAGAACAGATTATAAATTTAAATAACATCTGAATATACCTTTGATAGTGATAGAAATTCCTACTTACAAAAAATCAATTGTGCAGAAGTTTGATACATAACTTTACTACTTCACACAAGCTTCCAATAACCATTAGGTAACAGGCTAATTGCAAAAACAAGTCTAGCCTAAGGCAGAGATTAGATCAACCACTGCCTTAGTTAATCTCACCCTAAGCAAGAAACTGAACGTTACTAATTGTTGTTCAGAGACAGATCTAACAGCATATTATTCTGAAGCTTGTTTCTACAACTGATTCAATGATACATAAGTATATTAAGTTGTTTGTGAACTAAGCTTCAAATACAATTGATATAACAGAATGTATAGGATGTTACAAGAAATTAAGTATTATCTCCTATAATATTCAAATGAATTATCCATTCATTTGAAAACTATTGATTTACAACATAATTTTAAAATAAATTAAATAAAATATTAAGGATTGTGCTGATTTATAGCATTATGTTAAAATTATTGATGTAAGCAAAATGAATTCATGACAAAATAATGATGATTATTAATCTGTCTAGAATGAGCAATTACTAAGTAATCTGCAGATTAAGTATGAAGCAGGAGTAATACATTATTAATTCTTTTAAATTTCATTAAACAATACTCTGTTTCTGCATTAAGCATTTAACAAGAAATAACTGAATCAATCAATGCACCTTTAACAGTGGGTAAAGTTTAAAGAACGTAATGTTTTTGACCCAGTTAATGGACCATCTTCAAGTGTGGACAGTTGCAAGTGGATTCTACTTTCAACTGTCATTAACATTCTTTAAACCTCACCCACCATTAAAGTTACATTGATTAATTCAGCTGAGTAATCACAGTGGCTAGTTCATCTTCATAACAAATAATTAAATTTCTTATTGGAAAAGGTAGTTTAACTAGAATTATCTCAGTTAAATATTATAATCATAATTGTTCCATTTAGTTCATTTTTATAATTATGTCTTAAATCTATAGTTTTTAAAGCTAAAAATTAAACAAAAACCCACTTGGTTATAAACTATCTTGCAATGCCTCATATAAATATAGAATGTATATTAATTCTTTCCTAGAATATTATAAAATAATACAAAGTAGACAGATGTAAAATTTTAGATTTATTGCATCATGTTATAATTAATTTCATTTTAAAGAAATTCATATCTGCTTTAAAACATACTTGAAATAATTGTATATGTTTAATTATTTATTTCAAAAGTATATAATCATTTTATGGTTTAGTAGAAATAATAATAATAAAATATGTATAACAAATGCATCTGTTACTTTTTATAGTCTCTAAAATTACCATACTTGATATTTTAAATTTTAAAAATAAAGTACTATGTCAAAAATATAATTCTTTTTCAGAAATATATACAGAATATATTGGATTTCAAAATTTATATTTTAATTACACTATGCATAAAACTGCTATTAATATAAAACTATGTTGTTTAAACCAATCATATTGACATGATAACAATAGTTTACATAACATAATAAATGTTTCACTTTATACAAAAATTAAATTTTTTTAAAAATATATCAATAAAATTCTTATAAATGGAACTACAGCAGATTTTTTAGCTTAATTTTGCTGCTTTTAATTAAATTATTAAAGTAATTCATACTTTTAACAAATTATTTATATATTTAGAAACTCCAGGCATTTGTTCGTATTGCATATATACTTATACATATATATGGAGGTGTAAGGAACCAAGTCTGAGCTTTATTTTTATTTTACTTTTATTTTGCTTTCATTATATTTTGTTTGGGGCTTATGTTTATTTAAGACGAAGGTTTCCTCACCATTCACCTTAGTAACTTAAAAATAGAAGAAAAACCAACTCACCGACGAAAGAAAAGCGCCGTAGAAAAACTCGCGCACACTTGCGCTTCCCAAGCGGAAAAAGTAAGTCCGCACCGAGAAAAAGGGGGGGGGAAGACCCCACAACCCAGTTAGGAATCGCTAAACCTTAAAATGATAAAGCATCCCGATAATTGTTAAAAAGAATAATGTAAAAGGTTAGCGAAGTATTGTCGGAAAAATAATATAGTACTTTACAGAGGGTATTTCAAATAAAATTATTTCTATTCAGAGCAATCTGCAAGAAGAACTAGTTGGCAAAATATTGTCATATTTGATATGTATAGTTTCAAGATTATGAGTATGTGATTTGGATTAAAAAATAATAATTCAATTATTCACCAATACAGAAAACATAACAATGCAAGAGAAAATATTATAGCAGAGTAAACTGGAAAAGTGCATATGTTTATGTGTTTAGGTAATAAACCACACTCAAGAGCATATAAAGGTTAATCAATGTATTTATTGTGTTCATTCCATATTTAATGTGGTACAGTACATAAAAGAGATAGATCACAGAGGTTTCAGAAAGCCATCAAGCATAAACAAGTGCAATGTTCTACCAGATTGATACCTTTTTTATACATTAAGCAAATTTCACAAATTTTTCCTGCTCACAAAACCATATTTATTCTATTTGTAAGTACTTGAACTATCTTTCTTACAGTAAAATATCCTCCCTATAATCTGGAAAGTATACATGCCAAGCAGTGGCGTGCTGTCATTGATATGTCATTGAAATACAAGGGAAGCGGTGGATGCACCGCTTCCCTTGTATTTTCTAAAAAATAAATACATATTAATTAATTTTAATTATATGAAAATAATCGCACAATATTTTATTATAACCACATTATGTATCTTATTACAAATTTCTATACTACACATGAAAAAAAAAAAATAAGATTGCTATTGTATATTCGAATATTAGTGGCAGAGTGGAAGCGCTGTATTGTCAGCATCCAAAAAGCCAGATTCGCACATGCACTTTACAGAGCACCAACCTCACCCAGTTTAGCTAGTGGAAGCCTAGGACCTTGGGTGGATGCTACACGTATACCACATCCAATTCTATCCAGGACCGGTTCTGGGCTGTTAGCTGCCTGCCTGCTAGATATTTGGCCGCCCTCACCTGATTACGTGAATCGCGAGTAGATTTATAACTTAACCCAACTGATAAAAATTTACTGGTATGTTTTTATGATAGTTCTGTATAGTTAACAGGAGTTAAAAAAATCCATTAAAATATTTGATATTTTTATTCCGCTCTCCAATTTATATTACTCACGGATTTCAATGTTAAACCAATGAAATTACAATTTCGTATATCCCAGCTCTAAGGGGATGTAGAAAAACACATGTACAATTCTTGTAAAATGTTAAAAAATTAACTGTTACTTTGACAGCATCATTTACAACTAAATTTAATGAATGAGAGAGATGCACCAGGTACAGAAAAGGCTCTAGAATTTATTTTCCTTAAATTTACGATTTATGTATCCGTTGTCGTAAAAATTTGTCTTTCCACTTTTTTCCCAAGACTACAAATATTCGAGTACAAAGTAACTGGTTTTGACTTATTTCTACTTAAGAAGTGGTTAAATAATTAAGCAATTAGGGAATTGGAGACATAAATAAAACCCTGATGAAAGAGCTGAAATTTTACTTAAACAAAAGCTTAACTGAACCATCTCTCGCCAAGTACAGTGGAGACTGATTTCTTCGTATTATTAATGTAATAAAGACATAAATTTTTCCAGTTTAATGAGAGTGACTGAAAAGTTGTAAATTTTGGAAATTTCTGAGGACACCTGGTCCTAAAACGAATTAGTTAGAAAACAAATGACTATTAAGTTTAACATATTTAGATTTTTACAGCTATGGTGAAAAATGTTTAAAATCTACAACAGCCCTGNTTAAGAAGTGGTTAAATAATTAAGCAATTAGGGAATTGGAGACATAAATAAAACCCTGATGAAAGAGCTGAAATTTTACTTAAACAAAAGCTTAACTGAACCATCTCTCGCCAAGTACAGTGGAGACTGATTTCTTCGTATTATTAATGTAATAAAGACATAAATTTTTCCAGTTTAATGAGAGTGACTGAAAAGTTGTAAATTTTGGAAATTTCTGAGGACACCTGGTCCTAAAACGAATTAGTTAGAAAACAAATGACTATTAAGTTTAACATATTTAGATTTTTACAGCTATGGTGAAAAATGTTTAAAATCTACAACAGCCCTGTCACATCCTTTGAGATATACTAGTGATGCAACAAAAGAGGTATTTGACATTGACCAGTATCGGCACCCTGGAGATTTGACAGTCTGCGTGTATGCACACTCTGCAACCGTCTTCGATTCCATCCATTAGCCACTCATATGGAGCTATTTGACTAAGTGCATTGTTTTAAAATTTAAAAAGTAAAGAATATTTTATATTTTTATGTACATTTCTTTATAAATACAGTGAGTGATCGGTTAACAAACATAATCCGTTCCAAGACTTTGTTCGCTATCTGAATTGTTCGTTAACCGATTATCGATTTACCATAGGTTTTAATGGGAATTTAATTAATTCATTCTGGAGACCGCCAAAAATAAAAAAATATATATACTTTCTTACTACGTTTATTTATACGTAATAATAAAAATACATACATGCACAGTCTTGCGTTTTTATTAGTCATGTTTTTTTCATTTGAAAGGGTTAAAGAATCTGTCTAATGTTGATTGCTTTTCTCTCTTCAGGATTTTACGTAAGTAATTAATAGGATTG